TGTCCTAATTGTCACTGTTGTGTTGTTGTATGTTAAAAGCGTGAACAAAAAAGTACCTGATATAATGATCCTTTCTCCATTCCTTGATGCTTCATCCAACACTCCATCCAACCAGAGTAACTGCTTCTCAGACACGCCTCCATTAAATGCCATAAATCTCCTGTCCATGCCACTGATTCCAATAGAAGAGTTTTTATCTTCATTTTTATTATTTTTCAATATCTTCACAGCCTTATTAAATTCTGGACTTCCTCGCTCACTACCAATCAAAGATATCTCAAAGGTATCAAGAATAACAAAACGATATCCGTCAAAGGGAGTGAAACTATAATAAGCAATCTTATTGTCGCTTGTTGCTCTGTGGGGCGATGAATAGAGCGAGGTTTTGAAGAGTTGTTCACGAGTGAAATTATACAGTTCATGGTTACCCCACGTATGGTGAATCCTTCCAGCAAAACTTTTGTATGCATCAGACACAACATGTAGCGCCCGGTTGGATTCGCTAGTCCCCCCTTTCTCAAAATTCCGGCCATCTATAAGGTCACCCAGTTGGATTACAAACTCAATGTTGCGATTCTCTTCACTGTTCCACGTATACACAGCTTCCTGAAGATGGTTCAATGAGTTACGGTAATAACGCCATTGTGTCTGTTGGTAATTCATTCGGTCATCGTGATCAGCATACTGGATATCGGCGATCAGACCAAAACTGAAATGCAGTGGAGCTTTGGATGATGCCATGGTACTAAGTTGACTGTTATCTTTTAAGGTTCTCTTATTTCTTCCAACTGACTGAAGATAGAATCAACAATTTTTTACTCAATTTACATATAAATGATCTGTTAGGGGTAAATCATCACATACATGTACCAGCATTTTACATGCTAATTTTGCCATAGAGGGCAGTAACACAAAACATCGTAATACATGTACATGAAACCAAGAAAAGGGTACGTTTTTCTCTAATTTACACCAAACTGGAACGTTAATATATCAACCATGAAACGTATCTCAAATGTACCTGGTTGTGGTTTCATTAAAACAAAAAATGTCCAACTGGCGACCATGTTGATTTTCTTATTATGATTCCTTTTATTTGATGTGAAATTCGAATTTCTGTTAATTACAGCAGCAGACTTATGTTTACACTACGACTTTAAAGGTACTTCGGTTACTCAATTTTCTTACATGGCTAGACACCATTTTACAAGTTAAAAAGTGTTGCTCTGTATCACTATGTACTTCTCCTGCGATTGTATGTTTCAACTGGAGTTTCATTATTAAACTTTCAGGTTTACCACCAAGATGTTGTTCTGTTATCTTTTATTGGTGCTTGTAATTTCCCAGCACACCTACTTAGAAATCAACATCACCCTGTGCGAGATCGTCCGGATGACCAATGGCAATCCTCGGGGAGCTACATCACAAGACATTCCACATTACTAAGACGCGCACCACTATACCTAGACTTGCTTGCAGTCTGTTGGGATTCCGATGAAAAATTCTTGAAAAATAAATATAAGTTGTGTAAATGAGGGATGAACGCGAAAGTCATGTGACCTTGAAATCCCAACAGACTTGCCAACAGTGTAAGCGCCCTCACATTACCGGCCAGATTCGGGCTGCTGTGAAAAATAGCTAAATTCGAAAAAATAGCACAAAATCAATTTTAACGTAATCTTGGACAACCAAATTTGTATATATGTTGTACATACAGGGGTAATCTTGTTACACTGTTCAGGGGAGTCTCAACAACCATCCCAAAGCACAGTTTTCGGACTTTGTTTTCACCGTGATGGTTGCCAGACAGTGAAAATGGCCAAATGTACGCCCCCGAGAATAGACCGAAAGTTTACTACTAGAAGTAACCGTGATTGGGAAATGTGGAATTCAAAGGAATACCCACATTATCACATACCTGTTTTCTATGGTCTATGGTTCAACAATTACACCTTGCTCTTGAAAAACACACTGACGCTCATTCACATGGTCCGAAAAAAATGTTTGTAATACACGACTTTCTGAAAACACCACCCCCTGTAATTTCTGTCCATTGTTTACGTCGTGTTGGGATATAACGTCACCCAGCCAGCATCATGTGATGATAACTGTACACTGTACGCTACGTGCCTTGAACCAATATGATATACCTATCGATAACTTCTTACCATTTAGAATAAAGTCACTCTTGTGGTTTAATATAAGAAAACTTACTTGTCATGACGTGTTTCTTGTCGTATTGCGCACCAGCACTCGGGCCAGCACTGCTCAACAGAACGGTATTCCCCCACTAACATTGCCAGATCACAACACTTGGTGGCGCACTGACATTCGTGCACAGAGGTGAAAGGTTAAAAGGTTAGCTTCGTTCTCGAAGTCGGATGAACGTGGTTCTGTCACATTTTGTTATTTCTTGATTGGGACCCAAGCTGTTTGTGTCACAGATTTTGAGGTAAAAAACCGTTAAATGTGGTTATTTCGAGTGACAACGATTGAGCATTCCCTCAATTTTGTGAAGTCACCAATTCGTGTGTAGGTACGGCTTCTAGATCCGTGCCCAAAGTCCGGGAGCGCACCGTAATTGGTGCGCAAGTTAAAAATAAATAGTTTCCCAGCCGAAATCTTTTGAAATGACGATAGTTATCCGTAACAACCATTACAAAGTTATCTGAAACTGAAATGTCTTTAAATAACAACTAGTAAAGACGGTCAAATTGTAAACGCGTAGGTACCAGAGGAATTATCCACCAAACTCCGCCATTTTTTATTTCATTCACGCGAGAGAATGCGTTTGTTTTTAGGGCAAAGTAGCCGATTTCATCCACAATTGGACTCCGAACTGGGAGTTCTGTATATATCTGGTAATCGATCATCATTTTGGGTACCTGGTCATGTTATTTCATTAAAAAAGTTATATTTTTCAAAGTCCCGGACTTTGTCTATGGAGGTACGCAGTGCAGTGGTGGGGACATCTATCAACCGAACGCGTCTCCGTACGCACAGCACTGTACGTAGGGCTAGGTCACTTGAGAAGCGTGGCTATTTATGGCTTTATAGGGGGTGGAGGGGATTAAGTAATAATCGTGTCGCGTTTAAACGTGATGCAGAACATGTCAATATTTACAAAAACAAGGATATAAAAAATGCAGACACCAACAACAAACTCATCTTTCTCATCATCAGTCTCAATATTTTTTTAATGTTATTAATATTTGCATCTTTCGGTCAAACTAACTAAAATCAAAACGAAAAATATTTTTTTTCAGAAAATGGGTGATGTAGATGCAGAAGTTTTTAATACAACTGCCATTGGACTATGCATCGGAATCGCCGGCGGTGCTGCTCTGACGCTGGGCAGTATAGGGTTAATCAAGTATTACCGGCGAACATCGAGAAAGCCGAAGAGTTTGAAGCTATATCATAGCTTTCCTTTCCGATCAGTGCGATGTGCATGGCTCGTTGCAGGTAAGGAATAATGTATGTGCACAACAAGGAAAATAAAACATAGGAACACATGATGAAACGACCTAACTGGCACATAACTTACTGTAAAATACTTTATTTGAGTTGAGTTGGAACAAATTTTCGCGACTGAAAAGACTTTTTGCTTGTTTTGTATGAAATTTATTTTCACTGAGTTGAATATAAAATATATGGAAAACCATGTTTTCGCAGAATTTTATTTTCACTGCTTTATATCTTCAGCGATAATAGCAAAAATAAATTCCAAGTGAAAATAAAATACTATACATTTTCAGTTGTCCCAAAATAAATTCTCTACTCATTATGAAAAAGATATTGTCATTTTTTTGTGCACTATGTTTTGAAGTTTAAAGATTCTGAAATAATAGATAAAATACAGCTTAAATTGGTTTAGCTATGTTTACTAAAACTACTCAGCCATTCTAAAATACTAAACTGTTGCCCCCGCTTACTTATGGGTTAGAGCCTCATTATGGACACAGTACACAAACAAAAGAGCATCATATGTGAAAAGCGTTTTAGGTACACAGGATCAACATCTTTA